CCTCCGCATTGCGCTAAAGAACGTACAGTTTCTTGCCCGACCCAAAACTTTTTAAGTCAAATTCAGGACTCACTCTTTTTCGGGAACCGCAACAAAGCCTGAGGGAATGGCGAGGGAGGAGGAGGAAGGAGGAGGAGGGGGAGGAGGAAGGGAGGGAGCGAGATGGCAAGAGAGCAAGAGTGCAGAAGGAAGATAGGAGGGAGAGATATGAAAGTGAAGGGTGACCATTGATAAGGAATGTAGTAATAACGATTGCAACTCAACTAGGAAGGGTTGACATGACATGAGTCTGGTCTAGCACAAGGCCCTCCTTGTCCTTTCTTTACATATATATCCCTCCTCCTCTTCCAACTCTATCTACTTCCCCAACCATCAACCTGATCATCCTGCCCCTCCAGATGTTCCAGGACATCCGCACTGTCTACGAGTCCCTCTCCTCCATGCCCTTGTCCAGCGTCACCGACTGCTACGACAGCAACGGAGACCTCAACGCAGGCGTCGCCTCCTCCACATGGCCGGTCGGCGTGATCAAGAACTGCGGCAGCGCCGTCGCCAACACGACCTGGTAGGGAAGAGCGGGGGTTGCGGGGACAGGGGCAGGCGGAGGGGCGGGAGGAAAAGCCGTGACACAGGAGGACGCAGGTCCAAGACGCTGTCTGACGGATCTCCCGTGAACGACATGAAGTCAGCCGCCTCCTACTCGGGCAGCACCAACCCCGACGGCATCTTCAAGTGAGCGACAAGAGGAGGGATGGCGAGAGGCAGGAGGAGGAGAGGGGGAGGAGAGAGGAGGGAAAGAAGGAGGGATGGAGAAGTGAAGGAGGAGAGGAAGAGATGGGTTGGAAAGAGGGGGGACGAGGAGGAGGGAGGAAACAATGAGGGGGAGGAAGGAGGAAGAAGAGGACGAGGAGGAGGGAGGGAGGAAAAAAATGAGAGGGAGGAAGGAAGGAGAAGAGGACGAGGAGAGAGGGAGGGAGCTGACGAGGGCGAGCAGGTACGGCGTCGACATGGACTTCTACGGATGCGTGTACCACGATCCCAACTGGAAGACGTCGGGAGTCTCCGACGAGGT